GTCCCAAAACGGACATTTCCTTTCCTTGCGGAGATGAAAGATGACGTACGAAATTTAACAATAAAAAATCTGACAGACTTCTCAGATTTTTTCAGACTTCTCAGGTTAGCTACGATACAGATACAATAATAACAAGTTCAGTCACTGCCATCATAATAATTTTAACAATATGTAGTTTTCGGTCAAATATAAACTATCATTATTTATTGAATATGACAAATTAACAATTTAAAACTGTTAAAATGTCATTCCTTTTAACAAAATATTATAAGTTTGTCGGTCATTGGTCCATAGAGCTAAGTTGGAGAAGTTTTGTCCATGTTCCAAATGCTACCGTAAAACACTTGCTTCCGTCACAAAAACAAAGTTTTCGCAACTGAAGGCGGCAGCGAGGAAGCCAGTGAATTTATCGTTGGGGCCGTTACAAGTTATTTTTGTGTATTGACCCAGATGAAGTTTAAATAAAGCTTAATAGTTGGGCCATTTTTCTTTCTTGACTGACCAAAGGGCGAAGGTGTCTGTAATTGTCAATCGAAAAGCAATAGTCTATCGGATACTAATCAATATATAGATCGATGAAAAAAATGTCCTGAAAAATGAAAATGGCACGGAATAAAACCTGGAAAAATGATAAATTTCTACGTACACCGTGGTATACGCAACAGTTTCGGCTGTTGCACGAATGGGCAGGTTCGTCGGGGTTTGTACCACGACCTCTCAGAAGACTGGCGTGATGAGGAAGTGTTATACTTGTGCCCTTCGTCAGGTGAGTGAGGTAGCCTGAACCCATTTTGCAAAAGGTGGCAACGAATCTGCAACTCTACCGGTGTTGCAAATATCCATGGCTGGCAGTTATCACTTAATATCAGGTTAATCGCCAGCTTGTTGGCCACCTTCTAACATAAAAAAAATAATAAAAATTGCTAACAAGGTGCCTAATGCTACCAAGCAAAATACAATATCTTGTTCTGCAGTTTCGTTGTTCCAAACATGTCGTAAATCATAATGGACTTTGCAATAATCTTGGCGATAAATCAAGCAAGTTCAAGAAGTTTTGTTATATTGGTCCCGTGTTAGTTACTTCTTCCTGGTTCCCGACTTCATTTTAGTTACATAGTATTGTGCTATTCGGTTTATTCGTGTACTAATAATAATTGTTAAATGTAGAAATCTCGAAGGAATTTCTACTTTCTTTCGTAACAAAACAAATCTTTTTAACACATAGAGATACGCAACTACAGATGTAATTGATAAACATTGGAAAAATGAAGATTCATGAAAAAAAAAACTTTACACAAAAGCACTGAAAAATGAAAAAAATGAAAAATATTTATTAATATATAGGTTTACAATTGAAACATTACTAAAGTATTTAACTATACAGATCCGGCAATTTTCTGTATACAACAACCAGGTCAGTGTTAAACCCTAATACAAAGTAGCGATAGGGCCATAAGTAATCTCAGTTTTGCGTCATAGTATGGCATTTTATCCTCATTTAGTCCGAATTTGTTCATTATAAGTTTGAAGTTTACGATTTTCATAAAAGAAATTTAAAACATTGTCGGCATATATGAACAAAAAGTAATAAAAAAAACTATACAACATCAACTAAAATAGTTTAAAATGGCAGTAATAATTAAATCAATGATTATGAATCTTCTTAGGAATTTATTTAAATTGTGTGCTGTACTTTTAAATTTAAAATCTTTTAAATTTTTACAAATATGATCCAATTTAACGGAATATAATACATATTTCATACAGAAAATACACCAACACATTAAGAAAAAGTACTTACTAGTTACTTCGTATTTATTATGACTGATTTGCGAACAGTACTGGCGTAAGCTAAAACCATCCATTATCGAAGGGGCTTTCATGATAAAACACAATAGTTTTTATTGTGTTTTAATCATAAAATCCCATCCCTGGCCCTTTTCTGTCCTTCATAGGTTAAGACAAAGACGCGCAAAAATTAACTGGAAATTTTACGGGATCTGCTTCCTCCTTTTGTTATAATAATAAAACATGACATTTTGCTTTATTATTATGATTAAAACGTGTAGTTTATACTGTTTGTATTATAGGCTTGTGTTAAACCACAAAACCGGCTAAGTACGAGAAGGACTCACGCACGAATGTTTCCGTTCCATGTAATATATAAAATTCTCGTGTCACGGTGTTTGTAATTGAACTCCTCTGAAACGGCACGTCCGATTTTCGTAAAATTTTGTGTGCATATCGGCCAGGGTAGAGAATCGGACAACATTTATTTTTCATCTCCCTTAATGTCAAGGGTGGTCCAACCCAAACATTTTTTTCTACCCTACAAATAATTTATATGGCAAATCGACGTTTGCCGGGTCAGCTAGTTATCTATAAAACGGCAAAAATCATCTTTGTTGTTCTTTTTGCCGTTTTTCCATAGCGCTCGGTTTTAATTCAATATACTCGAGCAAACTGAGATTGTTCGATCGCCAGTGCCGGCACCAATGAAATTGTTAATTTTAAATTCTAAATTATCACGTGCTCAAAGTGATACTAAATTATCACTCTGACCACGTGATCATTTAAAATAAAGGTGAAGCAAAACATCTTGAGGAAACCTGCATATTTTCGAAGTAATAACAAAAAAATATTTCGAAGATGACTGAAGTCTGCCAATCTGCAGTGGGGTCGCGTGGTGGACTGTGCCTTAATCCCCTCTGTACAGAGGAGCCCTTTGCCCAGCAGTGGTACATGAATAGGCTGTTACGTAAGATAAGAGTGACTATGTAAATAGGCCCTTAAACTCCAGTGACTATCACCTTTACCAATGCACTAAAGTCTAGAGATTGGTACAGGTTATGATGATTACGAATTGGCTGAAGAGAGTATTACCAAAAAAAAAAAAAACTAAAGCAGTTTAGATAACTCATCTAATCGTCCATGTCTTTATAGTTAAATGACAATTCCTTTTATATGTATTTTGAAGGTAACACACTTACACGCATTGCTTAGTATCCTGATATTTCTTGCTGTATGTAACTATGATGGCGACTCTCGAGAAACTACAATACGAACAAGAACAATAAATTGACTTTGAGCTGTCTCGTGCTCTACAACTTGTAAACTTCCCCCACTAGCTATTATGAACAGCTTGACGAGGGTAATAATTTTCCAGAATAACTCACTTGTGTTTTACTGAGATTTTTTGAGAATTTTTATTCGTAGAAACGTATGGTTTTCAGACTCAATAGGTTTGTATTAAAGTGGTACGAGCAGTTTTCTTGTTAAATATTTAGCTTCAGCGGTTTATGCATAGTGCTTTTGTCAAATTAATCTCTAATTAATCGCATTTTTGCGAGTCAATAAAAAAAATTAACAATGTTACAAGAACGATGAATTGTGCGACGATATAAATATATATCATGTAAACATTAGTTCAAACTATTTAGTATCCTTGGCATCGGCTCGGCTCGCCATTTTCATAGGGAAACTTTAGGGAGATGCTTTTGTCGCGTTATCATTTCACTGTGACTCCACTGATTTTTTAATACGAGTATTTACAAATTTCACTATTTTATTGTATTAAATGCTACAAAAATTTTACCGTGTCAAAGTAGAGCCGAAAGTAGAAATATCTCTTAGAATTAAAGTAGTTTTTTATGTCCGCCATGCTATGATATTATATACAAACTAGCTGATCCCGCAAAAGTTGTATTGCCATATACATTACAAGCTATACATCTGGTGTCAATACATAATTGGGTGGAATTTCGTAAAATCCGATCTTAGCTGACCTCTACTCGGCGAAAGGAATATTATTACCAAATTTCAAGTCTCTACGCCTTATAGTTACGAAATATCGTGATGAGTCAATTATCGGTGAAAACCTCTTATATATATATATATATATATATATATATAAAAAATATAGAAGATAAGAGATGGATATGACACTGCGCACGGTAATTGAGGCATTTAAATTACATCAATTGGTGTAATTAGATTGCAATTCTATAGACTGCTGCATCTCTTTCCGTATCACACGTTCTATATCATCTGTCATGTTCACTTATATATGTAATAATAACGTGGAACAATTTTTATTTTATTTTATAAAAATGTAATATTTTAATATTAAACAACATACAATTACGTTAGCTTTACACTATACATTAGTAGTTATCATTACTAGTAAGCTGTATACTTATTGTTGGAAATTTTCTTCAGTATGGCTCCGCAACAAATTCTACTGTTGTACGAATGGGCAGGATGATCCGGTGAGGTACGAAGCCACGTCTTCACGGAACATTCACAGAAATACTATACTTTTACATTAATTTAAGTGCGAGTAAACGGTTATAGCTGATTTTTGTATCGACGATCCAAAGGTGGCGGTAATCAATTACTCTATTAGTTAATCGCCCGTCGACTTCTTGATTAAGGAAAAGAAATAACCTTAATAACGCTTTTAACAATGGTATAATGATTTGAAGAGAATGATGATCAGCAATATTGGAATCGAAGACTTTGTTAACATGTAGATAAAGTTAAACAATACTTGAAATATAATATAAACACAATGTAAAATAAATACAAAATGTTATTGTTTTCAACTAATCGTTCCAAAAGGACCTGTCATTATTGATCACAGCACAATAAGACATGGGTTCAGAATATTAAACATGTACGCTCATATAATTTCAGTACCTAAACGTATTCGAACTGTTTTTTATATTGTTTACAGTCGTATATATAGTGTTTATTGCACCATTATAGAGTTATCCCTTCTAATGTTAATATAATCCAAAAACAATGAGAAGTCATTTAGACACAGTCCTAGTGAAATAAGTACATTTGATCTAACTATCGTTCAGAAGTCATAAAAGTAAAACATAATTATTACGTAAGTACCCGCGTCTTCATCCATTCATACCAATGTTGCACTTTTCTTTGCACGCTTTAAAGTCAGTCTTATCTATACGTCTAAAACTTATTGATCTGTTCAGCTATAAATGGGAGCACTCATTCTCGTAGAGAGGAAATGAGGGATAAGAGAGATCTAGGCCTTGGAGGCGTGTAGATAGGAATTCCTCAGCCTGCAGTTCCATTTCGGCATCAAAGTGCGTTTTCCAGCCCCCGGCTTCACCTGTGACATGGAATACAAAATAGAAATATAGGACATTACACTTATGCATTATACACGTAGTAAATTAAATGAACCTGTATACCTTTTCTAAGAAATTGCACATCACTATTTTCGCCCGTTGTGTTATTGACGCTCTTATTCTTACGGAGACTGTCGAAACTGAGGTACTCAGCCAACTCCTCGATTTGTTCGGCAGAGTATTTTTTGTTTAGGAACTTGCATACCGTGCGAATTTCTTTGGGAAGGTCCTGCGAATTAAAAAAAAATAGTACATTACAATTTTTAAATTATGCATTGAGTATTTACAACATTAAATTTCAATGTATATGTTTTAAAATTAATTATATATGAATATGTATATAACTTTTATTTTAACTTAAAATTTGATTTGAGATTTTTTGAGATTGAGAATGCCTTAGGCATTAAGTCTGCCTATACACAGTGCTAACTTTTTGTGTAAAAGTTTAAATAAATAAAATAAATTTAACTTAAGCAAACATTATCTAATGAACCTAGTCCACGCGGTTTGGTGCAAGTTCATATTTCACGAAAACTTCAGCGAAGAATTAACTAATGTATTTATTTATTCTTTAAGTACAAATAGTATTAAGGCGAACTTAATGTTAAAGGCATTATCTCCCAGTCAAAATGTCTCAGTTAAATGGAAATTGTATTTGCGCTAGACGTTGATTAACTAATAATTCATTAATGGTATTAGTTAGTATGTTTAAATTAATTACCTTTATCATATCTTCGTAAAATATAAAATGGAGATTCGGATTATGTCTCTTTTCCCACGCTTCATTCGTGTGTGCTACAATCGGTGTCCAAGGCACTAAAAAGATAGAAATAAGTTACAAGTACCATAACTTTCATATAATAGTCATCAGAGGGAACAATAGAGTTACAACAAACATAAATTTATCCCTTGAGGACATCATATCTTTTTCTTTCTTTCTTCTACCCTTATCCCACCTAATGCATTTTAACCACCACGCCTCTTTATTTTAAATTTACACTAACTGACCGAGCCATACTTACGCAGGTCTCTTCTAAATGCCTCCCAGAAGTTAAGGAAAGTCGACCTCATCAGGGTCTTCGAGACCATTTTGTGTAAGTAATAATACGATACGGCCACGTCCCTCGGATCTCTTGCTACATATATAACTTTGGCAGTGCTTAGGAGCTTTGGTGGCAGCAGCGAAAGAGGTAAGTGTGTTTTGATAAAGCGCGGCGATGGTGCCTCAGCTATCGATCGCCAGCTGGGATTCCTTACTGCGTGATTCAATCCTTGGAAATAGGCCAAGTTCATGAAATTTGCTTTTATCAATTCAAACGCCATCCGTGGTATGTGCGCTGTTGTTCTGAAACGATAAATTTATGATATTAATCTATTGCATAAATATTAGTTCGAAATCTTATGTGTGAGCGAATGGAACCCTGTCAAATTTATGCCAAATATAAAACGCTTTCAAAAATTAAACAATAGTGTTTTCAATGAAATCGCTGACTTAAATATTTTTAATTTATAAGACCATTTTTGTTGGTTTTCTTATGTTACGATATTTTAACTGTAACTTAAATAATTAAGAAAAATCAATGTATTTAATTCCTTTCAATATTTGTTTTCTTTAGGCCCGATAATAACAAAAGCAATTAACACAAATTTATAGTTATACTAAAGAATTATAGTCTCGTTTAGAAATTCTTTTTATTTTTCTAGTAAATTATAGAATGCGGTAGGAGTTCTTTGGATGTACAAACCCGTTATAATTGATGATGGATAAAAGTCAGTTTTTGCTTCATTTTAATTAAAAATTTGAAACATTTGAAGTGAAAATGTATGATTTTTAAAATGAGACTACTTATTTAAAGAACTTAAATGTATCATTACTCCGATATGCTATCATTATACGAGTTACGAAAATTACATTTATTTAGTAGGCCTAATTTGACGGCAAATGCGAAAAAGAAGTTGACACAGGGTTAATTAGAACTTGACATTGTCAGTAAATTTTTGACAAAAGTCATTACTTACTCCAACATTGGAAACCTTTCATACAGCGGCTTTTCCTTTGCTGCTTTGAAATCTAAATCGTTTTCTATCAGCCATACCATTTCCTGCGTCCACGTCGTTCCTGAAAGAGAAGGTACGTTTTATGATTTTTAGTTGAAAATACATGTGTTCAGAACCGATATAAGAAACTAATCTATAAAATACTTCTTTATATCTGTTTTGATTTGTGTGAAAATAATTATTATATTATTCTAAAATTCTGCACAGTTGTTTCATGTTATATGGTCAAAGAAAGAAATAATGTAGGGGAAAGTCTAACTTAACTAAGTTAAAAAGTTTAGATACTAATAAGTAACTTATCTTTTTTACTCTCATCTCGGATGACTTCACTTTATCTTGCGTTAATGTGTTCGCTTATATCGCGAGTTTTGGTCATTTACTAATTGTAAATTATGATCACAATCAATCTGACCTCTTCATATATCAAGTACTTGAAACGCCTATAATTGAACGTGAACTTTAACGCTAAGTGATAATGCAAGTAAAAATTTGTATTAATCTAATATATAAAATTCTCGTGTCACGGTGTTTGTAGTTGAACTCCTCCGAAACGGCTAGACCGATTTTCGTGAAATTTTGTGTGCATATCGGCCAGGTTGGAGAATCGGACAAAATCTATTTTTCATTCCCCTAAATGTTAAGGGTGGTCCACCCTAAACATTTTTTTCTATCTTACAAGTAATTTATATGGCAAAACAACATTTGCCGGGTCAGCTAGTTATAATATAAAATAGACGTGCTATTTAAAACACAAACGATAATTATTGTTTATGCGAAAAAAGGCCCATTTTACATATAACCTTTTTAGTTGTGGCTCACAGATAAATTCATTAGTGAAATTCAATAGTTATTAACTGAATGCGTCATGTCACTGGAAGGGATGAGCTACTTGTAACATGATCCATTTAGACATGATTGTGAAGCGTTATAAGCGGAGTAATGTAACAACCTTGATGCTTGTCAAAACGGCTTCTAAACATTTACAATTTAGGAACGATTGATGGTTAACGAACGAGTTAGGTATTCATCCGTTTGTATGAATATTGATTTGTTATTATTTCGATAGCTTCTATGGCGCAATTATAGTCTTTGCAGTTCGTGGATTGGGATAGATATATTATTATGTCATAGTATTAAAGATTTTTTCTTAATTTCATCAATATGAATTAAAATTAAAGTGAATTTATATTTAAGCTAATTCTAAAGACAGTTATTTTATTTGAATATTTTTCTTTTGAATTATTTATTATGGTCAAATATCTATCGGCTTTCGTATAGCTAACTTTCCTACAATTTTTGTCTTTCGAAATGAAATATTTTTTTATCTTAAAAATACGATGTGTTTGGAATTAATCTTTTAGTTAATGTTATTCATACCATTATTGCTATCAATGCTAATTTATGGTACAAACTGAACAGTTTTTTTAATCATTGACATACATATATTTTTTTAAGCTTTTCAAAATAGTTTATGGGTCGCCTAACTGTTATCCCACGTTAGTTACATAAAGGGACATTATATGCGAAATTTATCACTCAAAAAAATTCGCGTTCAATACATTTATCAACGCACTCTACGGTCCCCGATATGAACTATCTGATAAGGTTGTAGGCGGGCAATTTACGGAACGGAACTAAGCAAAAATTTAAAAGCATAAATAATAAATTAATATGTTTAAATTCAAACGGGTACTTTGATACTTCTAACTGATCAAGCTATTAAATTCAATAACCTTCATAAAGATTCTGACAAAAAGGTGAAGGATAAACTAGTTCAAATATTCGACGATGTTATACATTTCTGTATGTTAACTTCATTTAATGGGATTTTTAGAGATAAGAATATTGTCATTTGAATTGAAATATCTCAGGATTGTGCAGTTTGTGGTGAGGCCTATGTCCAGCAGTGGACAGGCTGTAATGATGTTGATGATGAATTATCAGATCCATGTCGTACTTAAACAAGGATTTTTAATGCGCGTATCCGTTACGTTGCGACGCGCTCCCAAAGCCGGCCTTAAACCGCCCAAAAGTTTTCTTTGAACAGTAGTCACTCAAGATTGTCTTGAAAAAATTACTTCAGTGCGTGCAAGATAAAAAAATATCTTGTAAGCACTCTAGTTATTTTTTATCGAGATAAAGACATCTAAAATGCGTACGACGTTCGTGGATCGTTTTATAGAAGGCCATTAGTAAGATTGCTTTCAATATATTTTAGCTTTGAATAAGAAAAAGGGAAACCCATTTAGGCCATTTATACTAGTAGTATAATAATATATAAAATATCTTTATTCACATAGACGCTTGCGCGTTCTTATGAAACATCGAAATTTTACAAGGAAATTAATTAATATGTTCGTAAGTTACCACCGATATACCGGTATATATAAAATTATAATGTAAATTTTACAAAAAACGTAGAATAAGCTTTCAGTGCTCCCGCCTACCATGATCTGGAAAAATACTATCAGAAAAAAATGTGCGGTATAGGACTAGGATAACTTAAGGAAATGTCGGTATGATTTTACAGAACAAATAAAGAATTTCTAGGCAAAAATGGTATAGTTCTCTTGTTACGATAGTAATATTGTTATGAGCAAGGGGGTTGCGGGATTCGAGCAAAAGGCCGGTATTCTAATCTTCACTTTATTTATAAACATAAACTCCACTTACGAAGTCTCCACTTCTACAGGTGCGAACGCACTTTCGCTGTCGCATAAGTCTTTTAGCCACTTCTTGACCAACTCTTACTCTCACTTTTTTCACTTTTCACTATTCCTTTTCTACACTTCCTCCTTCGTCTTTCCACTTTAATTTCCACTCCTGAACTGCCACCTAGTGCACTACGGGTCCCTTTTAAAGGCCGAATTTCGATAATCTCTTTTGCACACACGCTTTTGGAATGCAGGCTCGAATTTAAGTCATCTCTTTAAATAGAATATTCTAGAATAAGAATCTTTCTTTATTGTAGAGTGACTATTTGAAACGAAATTAATAACATCTATCAAAACTATCAAGACAGCGTTGACGCTCCAGACTCGGTAGTCGGGGCAATTGTTAAATGCCTGATGGAGGTCCTATGCAGGCCCAGGTGATCAAAGATTATAGTATCGGCTCGAAGTCGACTGTAATTTTATGGGGTATGGGAAGATAAACAATATCTAAAGATAATCTTAACATCCTCAAAATGGGTATGAATTTCCCGGCTTTGAGGTATGTTTTAAAAACTTAAGAGTACTACAGATACAGAAGTTAAAAACTCAACGCATATTTTCACGTTTGTAATTTATGTAATGTATGATAATCAAATTAAAAGTGGTTCCAAAAAAAAAAACTGAACCACATAAGCTATCAAATAAAGTCAAGGTACCAAACTTGAACGTTCGTTTTAACATTGGAAAATGTGCAGGTGTAAGTGCAGTTGATACCGAAGCATCGCTACTTTACACATAAATCAAGCGAGAATTTAAAATGCACTCAATTTCACTAAGTACAGTGAGCATCTCCTCATATGTGGGGGCTTTTTTTTCGTATTACGCGGAATAAATGATTTTTTTACATCCTTTTTAATGGACTCCAAATTTTGGTTAAGTTGGGTGTGATTACGTTTCCCAACAATGTAATTTTCATTGTGCAAGTGACTGAATAGCTCATAGTTAACAGATTTAAAAAAGGTATAACGTTGGTATTAAAAAAGATAACGTGACACGACAAAATTAGGTTTGTCATCGCTATAAAGAATTTTACATATTTACGAGTCTAAAAACACGTCTTTACTACGTCTTTCAAGCGCATCAAAAATAGCAGTTCTCAATGGCCTCTGTGATGAGGCATATAAATAAACATTAATACGACTTATTCTTTCTTTATTTAAAACAAAAACATTACCCTTACATTAGTATAACATTATCCTGTATTGTAAGGCCGTTCTACATATATAAATTTTACGCGGACAAACAACCAGATGCGAAACAACTATCTGTGGGTCACACAAATAGTTGGAATCGAGTCCACGATTGCATTGCTTTAAAGTTCCATCAGGTATGGCAGACGTAGTTTTTATTTTGATATACCCAGTGTCACTCTCACAGTAAATACGAATCTTACGACACCTCTCAAGGTAAAATCCATCAAGCTGTTCAAGCTGCAGAGCGTGCCAAACAATTATACATAAATACTCCCGAAAAACATAACCCTCTTTCTGGCGCAGTCGGGTAAAAAAATTAAATGAGGTTTAGAACATCATGTGAATGAACCACGTTGTACCGGTCTTTTAGCTAACAACACCAAAACGCCCCTATCATTACCATCTTAATAATTAGTTTCAATTTATTAATTAATTGAGTAGAATTTTATTAATAAAGTATTTATAAAGACCAATATTACCTTTTTAAACAGGTACAATTGTTGAATCAATCAATTATTAGTTAAGAACGTTACTTATGATTCATTAATTCGCACTTTCTTAGTGCAAGGAGGTATAATTTTTATTATCACAAATCGATCATAAAATATCGATCATAATATGAGTGCTATTGTACTTGAGCGACCGGTTTTATTATGTAAATAACGTATTTTTAGGTTCCGTACCAAAGGGGTAAAACGGGACCCTATTACTAAGACACCGCTGTCTGTCCGTCTGTCACCAGGCTTGTAACTCATGAACAGTGATAGTTAGACAGTTGAAATTTTCACAGATGATGTATTTTTGTGGCCACTATAACAAGAAATACTAAATAACACCAAACCAATCCGGCACTAACTTAACTATGTTCGTCGGACTGGTCATGTCGCCCTTTATTACAGCGTGTCGTTACAACCGCAGCAATAAATGAACACACGTCTAACACTATTTGCCAATAATTATAAAAAACTATAAAACGTTAAAAAAACCAAAATAAAAAAAAATATATAATTTTCAAACAAACTAATTAAATAAAAAATGAAACAACATTTGTAACATCCTATACAACTACAACTGACTGTTTCATACATTCAGAGGCTTTTTCATTCGTTGCCACAACGTCGCATGACAAGTCTCTCCTTCTAACAGTATGTTTTATCTCTTTTAAATTCATTCAACCCATTCATATGCTTTGTGGCCTTTACAAATGAACTTTACGTTACAGTTTTATAAGTAAGGGTGTTCTAAAATGTTTGCTATGTAAAATTTAATAACTCTGTAAATATTGATGTTTAACGAATGTAAACGCTTAATCCATTTTTAAAAAGTTATTCTCCATATGTGTGTTCATTTATTGTCGCGGTTCTAACGACACGCTGTGTATGTGCTAAGTTTGATATCAACTGGGCTAACGGTTTTCGAGTTAGATGAACATAGACACATACATTCTGTTTTGTATATAACTAGCTGCTGCCCGCGACTACGTCTGCGTAGAAGAAGCTTCTTGTATTAACTGATGTTTGTGCTTTCAGTCCCGAGACTATTAAAGCTTCATCTGACGCAAAACCGGTGGGCTAGCCAGAACCCACGGGTTTGGGCCCTCCGCTGTGGGTAGGGCCACGCATGTGCTCAATCGTGCGTTTAAGTGTGGTGTGTCATCTAAGGGCCATCGAGGTCGCGGTTCGAACCGAAACCCCGATGGCCGTCGACTGTGCAATCAGCTAATCGGTGGCTAGGAGCGGTGAGAATCGCCCCGGAACGCACACAAGGATGTACATCCGTTGTGTACGCGTTGTGTTGGTCTCGCCGTGCTCGGAGGCGAGGGCGAACTAGTATGTTTGTTGTTGCACTAACTGTGGGTGTAGTCTTATCCGGCGGAACCCCCTGCGGTGGGTCCGGCGTATCTAAGTCCGCTTTAATAGGCTAAAGGGGTAACATTCAGACAGAAAGATAGACATGCATAAAATATGTATATAAATTATAGCCTATGTCTTATTCTGAATATATAAGATATATTATTGTGAAGTTTCTTTAAAATCCATTCAGCAGTATTTGCGTGAAACAAACCTACAAACTGTCACCTTTATAATATTAGCAAGGAAGTAAGGATTGACGGTATACCTGATCGCGGAAACGTTATAACCCAAACATCGTCCGGCCGCACCTCCAGGTTGTAGATGGCTTCTGCGTGTTTCCTAAAGGCGGCCGGCATCACGTATTCATTCTTCCCGCATTTGACGAAGGGCTTCGTGTAACCTAAATTGTAAAAGGAACATTCCAATGACACCAATAAAATGCGACTAATAAGAAAATACCAACCACAATAAAAAGGACAAACGGAGACAATAAGTAATTTATTTTGCGATAAACAAACTGTTAATTATATGTACATATAATTAAGAACACATTGAGTCACTTTCTGTATGCATACAGTAAAACCCTAGTCCATAAAGAAACCAGTTTTCATTATTTAAGAACAGACTAATTTTCAATGATGTTCTACTTTGTACACAAAAAATAAACATTAAAACCTCAATTTTATGATGCGTGTCCTCCATACATACGTATAGAGGATAATTAGATTTAACTTATGATAAATAGATAGGACCGACATATGTATAAGACAAAATGATGAAGCTCTGATCTGGTAGTTTCTTTAGAACGAAGAACAAACCTATATAGAAATATAGAAAATTCTAAAAATTACATTTTTAATACATGTAAATTTTAAGTACACATATTATTCGTTTAGGCTTATCAGGAATACACAGAGCTTATAAAGAAATAATAAATTATTAAGTTATCAAAATCTGATCGCGTAATGCGCTCACGAAGTGACTTGCGTTCTAAGTGCCCTCGTACCTGTACCAATAAACACGTCAACGACTGTACTTAATCGTTATATAATTGATTACATTGATAAAGAAGACTCGATATTGACCGATATAAAGAAACGAGGATTAAACTTCCGCATTCATTGGAAATACCGAAACCGTGTGTACGTGAATCATAAAAAATGCACTATTATTTTAGTATTTGTAAGACTAGCTCAGTCGCCCCGGCATCGTACGCATAGACAATTAAAGTCACGTTAAAGCCGTCGAATAAATTAAATAACGCACGAACAGCAATCGAAGTATTTTATTGTTTTAATGTTATAAGTGGCGCTTGAAAATAGTCTAATATGTTAGGTTTTTCGCTTATACCCTCAGATATGACCAGCAAGAATTGAGATTTTTGACAGAAAAGCTTACACTTTTTTAAGTTTTATAATGTTAATTAATGTCAATAAAACAAGGTATTAAAAATCTAAATTCTAAGAAGGTATTCAAATATAAATAGCTATCGATCCAAACGTGAGAAAGAGATTTTTGCAAAAAGGAAACAAGTTCCACATCGCCGTGTTTATAAACCGCTTAAGGACAGCAATGTATGTGTAATTTTAAATAATGCAATTAAAATTAACGTCAATATATTATATAAATTTAAAACGACTGTCGCTCGTCACTGCGCTGTGAGGTGTTACGTTTTAAATCCCTTCTCATATCTTAGATTTAGTCCAAGGCCGGGCAGAGATCGCAATATCTTTGCCCATATCTTTATGATATCGTTATGATTATGCATTATTTTATTGTTCAACATCACTGATAATTGTCGCTTTGCAGTTGATAGCGGTGTTTTGTGATCCCGAAAACATTTACAAGTCTCTTAGAAATTGGAATGTTCTATTAAAGCCACGATAAATTGCATATTATTATTATATTTTGACATGTACTATGTGTAGTTTAACTTCTCTTCTTAACCCTACACAAAATGTGCATACGTGTCTGCAGACTATTTCTGTGATTTTCGTAAAGGCTGCTAAGGCATTTACAACGCCTTAAGCGATGCGAATAGCCAACAGCGATGGTAATCACTTTCATATCTACTGATTGCACAGTCGAAATATTCATATGGTTCTTGAGACTGTGCGTAAAGCTACTCGTAAAACAGTTAATTACTCGTAACTTCTTAAATGTGTGATGGAGTGAGCTGCCGGTTTAGACTTGTCACAAATTGAATAACAAAAGTGTGGTGCAGACGTTTTTCATTCCACTGGAGTCCAACCTCAATGTGGGAGCCTCACGTTATCAAGTGGCTGTGGAACGAGCCTTACGTTATCAAGTGTCTTCTTTTATTCATTTTATTTATATTGGGAAATTTCATTCTTACCAGTGAACTTCAGAAGTTTGATTACAATTATTCTGTATACCAATTGTATTGTCGCGTATACGAATTTACGTTGCAACGATGGCAATGGTCAAACCGATTTGGGTCTAACCCACCAATTCAGGGACAAGACAATTTAGGGTATCTCGTATATCAGAAACAATTTGATTGATTTGCTATTGCGTATAGCATAACATCAATCATCATAACATCGAGATGGTTAGTCCGATATTGAATATTTTTGTTAGTCGCGGTCTTCCACAACTTTTTTGTCTCTACGAAATCCATATTCGCGTCTCACTGAGTAGTATTTTCCCCAAAATCTTCATATACATACCGACGTTGTAACTGTCTTTATATGCTAAGAGATTTTGCTTGCACAGCTGGTCTTTAATAATAAATTTAATTCTTGTCTAGTAACATCCGCGAAAATTTATAGAAATATAATTTTGTAGAAAAGAATCGAATAGCACTTCGTAGACTACACTCGACTGTTACTGTTTTCGTTTTTTGCTTATTTATGAAGGAACGGTCTAATATATCATTTGTAAATATGTCGCGAAAATAGTAATAAAAGTAGCGAGTTTGACAAAAATGCACAGCAGTAGCTGTAACACCTGTCTCATCCATTAGGGTTATTTATGTGCAAGAACAATTTTCAATTTTAACCGATGGCTGAATAATTTTTCAAAACTACTGAATGTTTTAAGTTGTTTTACCGTTATCACAGTGGAACAAAAAGTCACTGAACCCATTAAACGTTTGACACAGTTTAATTTTAAGCATGTTTTTAATAAGACATAGAATACAGATATTTTAGTAAATAATTACTATAGATTAGCTTAAAGTTACTTTGATAATTTCGTTAAATGTTATAAATTTTTTGATCATATGAATGGATATGTCCAAGAACTCTAATTTTGCGTATTGCTTTAATAAAATTTCTGTCATCAGAAAAATACTTTAAGCCAAGACTTCAAGTTAAATTTTATTTTCAGTGGGACAAGTTAAATTTAGGAAAAATTATGTATTCACAGACAACGATTTGTCATCTACGATAGCATTGCCACTTACCATCAGGTAGGATAGAAGTAAAGTACCACTCATATAACGAAATAAATTAAATATTTCTTCTACTTTGCATTAAAAAGGAAACGTATAAAATTAGAATCGTCAAGACGCCTCCAGGATCAGAAAACTATTAAAAACATTTTAAAGCAAAGCAGCAAAACTGCTCCTTACATATCCGCAACTCTCATGATGAAAAGTCGAAGCCTAATGAACAAAACACCATGTGAATTATTATACATCACAATTTTCAGTCAACTCACACAGAACGCATATTAAACAACACTGAAACGCTAATGAAATAACACTGATAACGCACCGATGAGACATTTCTTGATTATCTTGTCTTCCTCGGGAGTGACATTCCTAATCTCATATGGCAGGTCGATCCAAGGCGCCATAACTATTTCGTGTGTACATTAACGACAGAAAACGGAACGGTACTGTGTCACTGATACGCTGTCGGTGGTTTTTCAATAAAGAATAATCTAATCACATTTTATCGATCTGTTGTATTGATAACATTTTCGTGAGTCAATTTCGCGGGCAATGCAAAACTAGAGCCGTGCTGTTTGCTGCTAAAGTCGCTTCCGACATCGTGTAATATATTTAACTAGTAAAGCCACAACTAAGCTTAACAGTCAAATATAAGTTAAGTGAAACGAGGCATATAACGTATACGATACTAAGATATTGTACTGGTAATAATGTATTTGAATCATAGTGCCAAACTGAACCTTGTACGAACACAACTGGCAATACTAAATTAGTGACGCCGTTTAATAGTAATTAACAAACCCGATATTTTAATGGAAACGAACGTAATTGGATTTTAATAAAGCCGGGTGATTACTGCAATTTATACTATATAAGAAAAAAAATACAGTTGAATAATATGGAGCAATTCCATACTTTCGCATCTCTGTAAGTCGCTTAATTTACCGAGGGTAAATATACAGACAATGAATTAAATTGTTTCGTCTACTCTTTTTTATGGAAAAGGTAGCGTGGTGATGATAAGTGTTCATCGCCGCCCAAGGAAACTCACAACACCAGAGGAGTCACGAACGCGTTGCCGGTCGAGTACGGAATAGGCTTTCTTTTCAAGGACCTAGGCAGGTTCTATCGGTCCGGAAATACCGCAGGCGACAACTGATTCCACAACTTGGTTGTCTTTCTAATGTGAATATATTCTTTTCTAATGTGAATAAGAGAAACGGTCTTTCGGCTTTTCAAATACCAATCAATGTCGTTGACACATTTGATGTTTGACGTCAGCATGGAAAAACTGGTGCTATTTGTTCAGCTAAAGTAATCGCTGACTTTGCGGTGGGCGTATAATAATCAATATTTTCAAGTATGGGCACTTTATATTTAAATCTAGCTTCAGATTGTCTCGTTTTACATTAAGTTGTTACCTTATGTTAGATTTATTTATATCTTGTGTGTTTCTAGCGTTGTTGCTGTACGTGAGTTACTGCAACTGGTTGTAGAAAATATCTCAATTATTTTTTTAACTTTTTAGTACGTATACATTTGTTTTGACACATTTTTGAAAATGTTTGTTTATTAGCCTTACCTTTATCCTTAATTTAATACAAATTCTGTTTAGTGGCCGCCACGGTTTAAAAGGGCAGCAGTATCGTATTTATAAATGTTAGTGCGGATAATTTTTAAACAAATTTCAATTTCAAATAACAAAAGGACGAGACAGACAAAAGAGGATTTTTTTAACTCGAAAATATTTTTTATAATTATGCGAACTCCACATTATTAATAAGTAAACAATTTTTATTGATTTTGTATTGTTAATAAATTTTTTTTTCTAGTTAAAACAATCATTTATTTCATAATAACAAACTGGCTATAAGCAAACTTAAATAATATTCAAATGATAAACTTATACAAAATATATAATAGAACAATGAACCTAAAACTAAAAACCTTAAAAATATAAAATAATAACTAAAATATATTATTAAAAGGAGTCCCTTTAGGCAGCGTTCCCCCTTTGAATAGCTAGACTAATTCTTTGTCCGAGGTGAGCTGCCAGCTCTTCGGTCTCTTGTGATGTCGACGAACCTTTTTACTATTTCCTTAAAAAGCCTTATAGCTAGTGCGGACCAAGGGTCTCGACACTGAATGGGAAAAAACATATTCGGACCGTAGACAGCTGTATTTGCAAGCTTTAGCTTATTCAGCCGCTTCACAAGCCGCACCGGCTCTTGTTGTTGGTTCCATGTAGATGGGAAGGGGCCAGCGTGTCTGAACAGGTTACATTCCATACGAGCACCCGGCCCATCTTCCATGGAATCAAACTCATACCGTCCGGTCTCTTGCCATCGTCTCTTGCAATACCAGTCGGCTCAAGTAGACTTGGCACGTTGACGGTGGCAAGGGACCGGCGTATAATATCGTTAAGTGCGGCATGTCTCGAGAAGCTGAATGCACTTTTTTGGCATGACAGTCTTTGATGTCCTAGCTTGTCGACATCACTGCCACAGGGACATTTATGAGGAGCGTAGACCGGAACTCCTAGCCGTAGACAGGTTGCGGTTCGGAGCGTGTCAGGCTGAAAAGAAATGTTCCTGTATTTGACGATGGGTACGCGTGAAGCCAGTAGCTAGCCTCATGCGCACCCACGGCCAAAAAAGCCTAGCACGCGCCGTACTACAGCTCAAAAGATTGTCATAAGTAAATTTTTTTAAAATTTATATTTTCTGCACATGAAATAATTTGCAGCATTGCTATGCTAATTTTAAAAACTGATGGGACTTTGTGGTATTTGTGACATTAGTACCTCCATCGTCTCAGTCCGTCTCTTAATTTTAAAACGTGCGAATTTTCGAAATATATTCTGGAATTTAACTTAGAATTAAAGTCATGCGTACCTAAAAAGTAGTTTCATTTAATAGTTATCGTACCAAGAGTACGATATTCACTTAAGTCATTTTCAATCAAAAGTTAGTATTACTTACAATAATAAGTTACGAGGTTATTTGCTAAGACAAAGGGTAGGTATATGACGACCGAAGTATTACATCCCATTAACCTTTCCTTTCCTGTTACTTATGGATAACTAAGTGAAAAGTTATACACGTATAAGGTCATATAAAGTACTTAAAAGCCACAAGTTACTTCATCATAAATAGTTTCCGATCAGAATAGCGTTATAAGTCATTTCAGTTTATAAGTTCCCGAGCAAACTTGTCGAAAATCGGGATCCATTGGCAGAATACCAAATTGAATTTTCACTTAAGCATGCGGATTAGATACCTTATAACGTTTGCATAAGCAATATTCAACATGCAGACAAGAAATTAAGTAAACTCTTCGTACAATGACTTAAGTTTTGAGTGGCTAGGCTGCCGGATCAGAGAGTGCTAGAAAATTAGTTCGGATTGATATCGTGCGATTGGTAATTATGGATTCTGCATGAAATATAACTCTATGAAATTTTATGATTGATTCTTGTTTAATTATTAAACTTTTAATATTAATAATCATTTATAAATATTTTTTGGGTTTGTTTTAATTTACAGCGTTAGCGTGAAAATGAACAAATAACTTAAAAACTTTTGGAGAAAACTGTCTTCTTCTTCTTCTCCAGCGTGTGTTCGCCCAGCGTTGGGCATACGCCTCTCCAATTTTATTTCTCATTCCATTTGGCACAATTCTTTGTTTCCCTTGTCCAGACTGGGCCTGCTGTCTCCTTTGTCATCGGACCATCGGGCTGGTGGTCTGCCCACAATCCTCCTGCCTAGCCGGGGTCTCCACTCTCGAACGCGCTTGCTCCAACGTTCCTCTTTTCTTTGGCACATTGGCCCAAGCCCACTTTAACTTCGCTACTCGGTGGCCCACGTCGACCACTTTCGTGCGACGTCTGATGAGCTCGTTCCGGACTTGGTCCTGTAACGTTATACCGAGCATGGCTCGCTCCATGTTGCGCTGCGTCACCTTGAGCTTGTGGATCAACCCAGCAGTCAGTGTCCATGTCTCGCATCCATATGTCATAGCCGGAAGAACGCATTGATTAAACACTTTTGTTTTAAGTGATTGAGGAATTTTGGACTTAAGCACGCAATTCAGCTTCCCGAAGGCTGCCCATCCCAACACTTTTCTTTCGTCTCATCTCTGCCATCATCGAGTCCCGACCAAGCCTTATTACCTGTCCCAGGTAAGTGTATTCCTGCACCTGCTCCAGTGGTTGCCCGTTCAATGAAATGGGGTTCGGTGTGAGATCGGCTGTTGCCATAACCTTGGTCTTCTCCATATTCATCTTAAGACCTATTCGCAGGGACGCCTGATATAGTTGCTCCAGCATGTGTTGCAGGTCTTCAGTGTGTTCAGCAATTATGACTATATAGGAGAAAACTGTACGAGTAACAAAATAGCTGTAGACAAACTTAGGAATTAATAACATTAGTGCCAGTAAAATAATCACTTACTTTATATATACTTTTACGAATTCAAAGCGTCTTGAAATCAATATTCTTCAATAATTTCTTCGGTTTTCTTGGTTTCATACAACTTGTTAAGATTTATCCACCTTGCTTAGCTTGTATAGCTTAGATTTAGCGGATATTTTTAAAGGTAATATAGTAGTTTTAGATGGTCTTAAAATAATATCGAAAATTATATACGTATATTAGTTTCACCTGTCCTGGCGTTTATAATTGAATCGTGCAAGTTAAAATTGATTCTGACTAAATTGACACTTCCTAGTTTCAGATTGCGCTGATATTTGGCGCACTCTTTAACTCTCGTGACAATGTACGATTTCCTAAACGCCATTTTTAATCCAATATGGCGGCCGCCGCAATATGACGGTTTATGATTTCCATATTAACTTTCTATAAAGATTTTTTTTAATGACAACTAATAAAAGCTTGTTTAAGTACACGTTATAAGTTAATTTTGATTGATTCCGTATACTTAGTACGTATACTTGGGCTAGAATCGTTTTTTTTTAATAATTTTGTAGAGGTATTATCATTTCATTAAAAATTATAAGTCCCTGCAAATTCACAAATTCCGCACGTCAGCTTAGCCTGTTTAATGATAAACGTAGCAACAATGGGACTTCATTATGGTTTAGCGACACATTAATTAATTCCCTGTCACGGCATACCTTCGTCGCACGTGAGATATTGTTCTGAGATTGCTGAAGCTATTTCTATAGATATAACAAATTCCACAGTACATTTTATGTGATTTTAGTAAATTGAATCAATAAATGGATGCATGTTTGTAGTTCCCGTAACGTAAGAGACGAAGATTTTTTTAAATTTCTTATATATTTATAAGCATCATTCGTCAATTACAAGCATTCACATCCTGTTATCATTTAACATGTACAAATAAAACTTCCTAATTATTTTCATACTATAATATGTTATGT